GGAAATGAGAAGGGACTGGGAGCAACTGGTGGGCACTGGGAGGCACTGGGAGGGAGCTGGGGGGCACTGGGAGGCACTGGGAGGGGGCTGGGAAGGACTGGTTTTGCACTGGGAGAGACTGGGAGACACAGGGAGGGGGCTGGAAGGGATTGGTGGGGGCTGGGAGGGAAATGGGAAGGGACTGGGAGCAACTGGTGGGCACTGGGAGGCACTGGGAGGGGGCTGGGAGTGGCTGGTTTTGCACTGGGAGGCACTGGGAAGGGACTGGTGGGGACTGGGAGAGGGCTGGGAGGGACTGTTGAGCACTGGGATGTACTGGGGGCAACTGGTGGGCACAGGGAAGGGGCTGGGAAGGCATTGGGAGGGGGCTGGCAGTAACTGGTGGGCACTGGGATGGAACTGGGAAGAGACTGGGAGGGAATTGGGAAGAGACTGGGAGGCACTGGTGGGCACTGGGAGGAAACTGAGGGATTGAGAGTTACTGGTAGAGTACTGGGATGATACTGGGGGGCACTGGGAGGCACTGGGAAGGAACTGGGGGGCACTGGGTGAGAGCTGGAGGTGAACTGGGGACACTGGGAGCATACTGGTGGGAGGGAAAGAGGAGGCACTGGGAGGCGCTGGAGGGCACTGGGAGGGAGCCACGGGTGAACTGGGGACACTGGGAGGCACTGGGAGGGCGCTGGGAAGGAACTGGGAAGGAACTGGGAAGGAACTGGGAGCACTGGGAGCGCACCGGTGGGGCGCGGGGAGGAAGGAGGAAGCAACTGGGAGGCAACTGGGAGGGACACAATGGGTTTACTGGGAGGGAGCCGGAGGGGACTGGGGTCACTGGAAGGAACTGGGCGGAACTGGGAGGGCAGTGGGAGGCGCTGGTGTGGCGCAAGAAGGAACTGGGAGTCACTGGGGGCAACTGGGAGGGACTGGGAGGCCGCGTTGGGAAAGAACTGGGAGGAACTGGGAGGAAATGGAAGGAACTGGGAGGGCAGTGGGAGGCGGTGGGTGGGAGGTGGGGGGAGGGCACTGGGAGAACTGGGAGCACTGGGAGGGACTGGGGGGCGGGAAGGGGATGGAGGAAGGGGGGAACTGGGGGAACTGGGAGGAAGTGGAAGGGACTGGGGAGGATTGGGATGAACTGGGATGAACTGGGAGGGATTGGGAGGAACTGGAACGAACTGGGAGTCACTGGGAGGAACTGGGAAGTATTGGGATGAACTGGAAGGAACTGGGAGAGAATGGAAGGGACTGCGGGGAACTGGGAAGAACTGGGAGGCACTGGGAGGAAATGGAGGGAACTGGGAGGAACTGGGAGGAACTGGGGGGGAGATGGGGGAAACTGGGGGAGAGATGGGAGGTACTGGGGAGGAACTGGGAGGAACTGGAACAAACTGGGAGGAACTGGAAGGAACTGAGAGGAACTGGGAGGAAAGGGAAGAAACTGGGTATACTGGGATGAACTGGAAGAAACTGGTTGGAGCCAGGAGGAGCTGGGAGGAACTGGAAGGAACTGGGAGGAACAGGAAAGATCCAGGAGGAACTGGGAGGAACTGGGAGGAACTGGGAGGAACTGGGAGGATCTGGAGTGATCTGGAAGGAACTGGAATGAACTGGGAGGATCCAGGAGGATCTGGGAGGAAATTGGAGGAAAATGGAGGATCCAGAAGGAACTGGGAGGAACTGGGAGGAAATTGGAGGATCCAGGAGGAACTGGGAGGAAACTGGAGGAACTGGGAGGAACTGGGAGTAAATTGGAGGAACTGGGAGGAAATTGGAGGATCCAGGAGGAACTGGGAGGAAATTGGAGGAACTGGGAGGAAACTGAAGGATCCGGGAGGATCCGGGAGGAACTGGGAGGAACTGGGAGGAAATTGGAGGATCCAGGAGGAACTGGGAGGAAACTGAAGGATCCAGGAGGAACTGGAAGGAACTGGGAGTA